TTAGTTAATTATTCAATCATCATATTATTTTCATTAGGATAATTGAAGAGGTGCTCGACATAAATCATATTTTTTAGTGCTAACTCGAAATGACTTCGTAATCTATTGAAAACTTAATATCCTCTAAAGTAATAATTTTTCTCTATCCCAACATTTTTATTTTATAGCGAATCAGTAATTGGTCATTTGCAACTAAAACATACTACCCCTCCTTTTGACTTCTTCTACGGAGACAATTTCAATCTTATTTATGAGAATATCTTTTAGGTCTACAAAACACAGTCTCAACCACCTAAATTGGCATTCCCTTAATTTATTCTCATGATGACACATCCACTTGGTTACATATTTTCTTATTTCTTATCTTATCCATTATAACATGATCACACATATATTTTAGAATACTCATTTCCGCAATTTCACTTAAAATCTTAAAAGTTGGGCTAAGTGCAAGAAGGCTTTGCGCATGAATGCCACTAGTTGCCTACATTTATTTCTTTATCCATCAAATCCCACAACTAATGCACTCCTCTTCCTAAATCTTGTTTAGGTGGAATTGAATGAAATGATGGGTCAACCGATGTAGCCTATGAGAACACAATAGTGTAGCAATTCCTCAAACTAACCCAAATTTGCCAGAATAAGAAAATACTGGCACATGAAAATAATTACTATGAAACTAAATAAATACAAAATAAAATGCTATGAAAATATTTACGTGCAAAATATTTTATTGTATGAATATGTGGTTGAAAATGAGCAGTGGAACGAAGAGTTTTCAAATAATGGTTGTCAAACAGGGGCTAGATAAAATATGGATTTTAACTTCTACCAAACAGGGCCTTAACTACAATGCAGTTAGATTAAAAGAGATTATGTATCAACTTATTGTATGTTTGGCCCACTCAAAGGGACCTTGAAATAACTAATTAGGATCATTATATGAATGCAGATGATACAACAACTGAGCTATAGGCTGCAGACGAACAACCGAAAACAGATTTGCAGTTTCTACTTACACATTTGACAGTTTATAGACATTATAAGAGAAATCAAGTAGTTAAAGACTATACATTCCTGATAAGCATGTCTGACATTTTCTTTTAATAAGATGTTATATGATGACAAATAAATTTGTATAACTACATAATATAATTCCTAACTATTAACAGATTAGCCCTAACAAACTCTCAAATCAGCTAAATATAATTTCAGGCAGATTTGGTCACATAGCTTACAAATGAAGTGCCTTTAATAATGTTGATGCCTGGCTGTTGATTTCTACCACATAAATTATGAGATTCAAACTATTGTTTTTTCCAGTTAAATTAACTTATTTGCTGTTTCATAAACTAGCATCTCTTGCATACAGAGAAATATAAACGTATAGTGACTGCTGACCACTATTGTAACTTAAATCCCGTGTTGCAAGGACACTTCAACTAAGGTGTTGTGTCCGTGTCCATCCGGACATGCATGATACTCCTCGGACACTCTACCATGATTTTTTTTATTTCTTTATCAAAAAATATTATATATGTTCAACTCAAAGTTATTATTAAATAAAAAATAGGTACTCTTATTTAAAATATTTCAATAAGAAAATTAATAACAAGTATAAAAATAATTTATTCTATATAAATGAAAATTTTTAATGAATTTAACCACGTATTGTGTCAATGCTTTTTCAAAAAAATAGCATGTCGGCTTGCATGACACCACGTAACAGTGACGGTGCATTGCTTAAATCAAATAGATCTTAAAGAATGTCAGCAAGAGATACTCCCCACTAGCATGAATAGCAGTCCGAAAAACCTTGGGGTGGGGAAGGAGAACTTTACAAACCAATTCAATTCAGCAAGCATGAAGAAAATAATGCTGGAATACTTGCCAGAGTGGATATGGTCTTCTTGCCATCAGTTGCTCGAACGAGGCATCTGTACTCAATCTTTTCCCCACATGTTTTCATTTTATTCCTCTGCACCTTAGACTTGTCTGAAGCTGCAAATGATTAAAAAAAAGTACAATCAAGATTTTGAGAAATATTCAACCCGACGGCATTCCATCTGAACATTTTCATACCAAGAGGGCATTCATCAAGCGGTTAAAAACCATTTAGAAAGTTAATAGAGGGAAATTACAGTGCTTGAGTGTAACCCAAACAGAGCCCTTCTCAGTAGTCCGCTCAAACATGTTAGTGAGTTCATTGAGGAAGGGATCGGGTTGTAAGCGCACCTAAGGAAAATATAAGAAAGATAACAAAAGGTCAGATAGAATAACACCGAGAACGTGGACAGAATTATAACTCTAAACTCTATTGTTTGGCAATCCAAACAGAATATACAAATTACAAAGTACATACACCTGCACAACCATACCACATGAACTGGAGCAATGAAACCTTTTGTTGTGTAGTAGAATTTCAAAGATTCATTGAAGAGTATTATTGTGAGCCAGCCTTACAATCCCACAGTTCGTCTTCTAAACCATGACCAAAGGCAGGATTTAACCCACTGAAACTTGATATCAGAATAACTTTTCAATTCATCCAGAGACAGACCGGCTTCCCTTTTGCACCTTATACATAACTGATATTGCTTACATTTCTAATTTTTTTACATTTTATGGATATTAGATGTAAGCCTCAAAGGGTCATTAATTCAGGCAGTTTAAATAAAAATAACATGGTTATAAACTTAAAATTACAGTACATTTCTAGTTTCTCTTATTCCTTTTATTAACATCTAAATCCCCACCCATCCCCCATCAGTACTGAATAACGCATCTACGACTGAATATATGCACATAAAGGCAATGTAAATAAAGAAAGCAACAAAGTTTGATGATCTATCAATTATTTAACCATGAAAATCCTTGAAGATCCTTTTAGACAATCTATAGGCATTCAAATAGAGATACAAAAACAATTAGATTAAATCACAAGATTCATTCTTTCTTTATAATTGCCAGCTTTCGTAATAAACCCACAATTTCTAATTTTCTCAACCAAAAATAATCATGCCGTAATTTTTTTATCTTCTAAAATTGAATTTACAGAATCAAATCCGTCGGAAATAAAATCGTAGTAGATCGCCATCCATTAAAAATTAGAATATATACATTCACAGAGAAAAGGAATAGAGATTACCATGCTTTAGCAGACAGTGATGAGAACGGAGGCACAGATGCGAAAGAGAGTTTTATGGTTTTTGCTCACGAGTCTTTGCCCTTCTCTTTTTTGTTCTCTCTCGGAACAATTTTAAACACTTATTTAAAATTAATTTTTCAAAATCATTTTTAACAATTTTTCCTAACCTTTTTTTTTTTTCAAATTTTAATCACACATTCTACAAAAAATAATAAATAAATAATAAAAAATATCTTCTCTTTAAGGCCATTTCAACCATTGCATCAAAATTTGGGATCAGTTTTACACAAAACTGAAAATTATCTTCAACTCAAAATATCAAAAGTTATACCAAATAAATAACGTTTCATCATGTTCTTCATTTTTTTAGTTCTTAACAATTTATTTAGTTTAAAAATTATTTAATTATTTATTTTATAAATACATAAATTATTAATTACGTTTAGTTAATGAAAATATTGAATTCATAATAAATTATTGACTGCCATATTATTATTGGCCTGTTTTATATATTGTTTTTCTTAAATATTCTAGAATGTTGGTATCAAGTGGTTGATGTGATATTTTTGTCTTCATTTTAATAATAGTTTTTGTTATCTTTTTAAATTTATTGAGTGCTTTTATTTTAGTTTTTTCTTAATTATTATTATTTACATGATTAAAATTTAGAGTTTAGGCCAACAATAGTAGTAATAATAATAACAGCAACAATAATAATTAAAATTTATTGTATAACAAAAACTAACGCGCGCGTACACACACAAAAATTGTTCTATACCAAAAATAAAGATCTAAATAGTACAAATTTCCTTTGCATCATTTCGCACGTGGTACAAACAAATAGCGTTGCATTGCACCAAAATGGCGCATAGTTGGGAGAGGTTTGCACCATTTTTTGGTACATTTTTATTTATTTATTTTATGATTTTATTTTTATTTTTATTTTGGGGGAGGGGGTGTGGTTCGCTATTGAAGATGCCCTAAAGACTAAAAAATAAATTATGATTTACTTTTTCCTAAAAGAATAAAATTTATTAGTTAAACGAACAACTTCAACATTTATATTTAACAAAATAAGTAATTTTAAAGTACGGCCAAACACACTCTAATAGCATTAAAATTGCTTGTGTAACTTGTTAATTTAACGTAAATCTAAACTAGAAATAAAACTAGAATGTGATTCGATGATGACATCTATTATCATTAATGTAGTAAATTTGATTTTGCATACATGGTTAACATGTCAATTACAAAACGAATAATATGTACTTAATAGTTCGAAAAGAATTGCAACGTTCCATAATTACGGATGACAAAGCATTTAACAAATTCAAAACAAGCTGTTTCGATATCAAGGACTTCTCCTTAGATATACGAACATCTAACATTTTTTAAAAAGTTCCGATGATTTTTAGAAATATTTTAAGATTTTTAAGGAACTGGAATAAAGTTATGGGTTGAAAAGATTATTAATGAAACTTTGGGAAAAAGTGAGAATTTTAAAAATTACCATGGAAGTTTAAAGTCAGGTGCGGACGGTTCCTAGGGTCACTTGACCCTGCAATTTTTTCAAACTCCTTTTTCCTTTTTTTTTTTAATCATAGTACTCAGGCTTACTATGAAATATCAAACGAAGTTGAAATATTACATTCTTAATATCATTTTGAAGCACTCACGACCTAGTATTTCACATCCTTAATGTTGTGAGAAATGACTAATCATAGCAAATGTTACGACGCGTCAAAATAAGCTATTCAAAATTAATATTTCGAGAATTTCGATAACAAGCTAACTTTAAAAAAATTTCGATGATTATGCGCTAGTTATATCCATAAATCTTCTCATTTTGAGAATTATATCATAAACAAATTGAATGATCTAAATGAATAGCGAAAATAGTTAAACGTACGTCAAACGTGTATACTAAAAAGAGACATATAACTCGTCTTTTTTGAAAAAAAATCAATTATTTTATTAATTTTTATTATTTTTCCGCGACAAATTTCTGAATATAATTTACATAATTTTATTAGGAAATTTTATGTGGTATGACGTCAAATTTTTTTTTTGACATAAAAATTCTTAATAAAATTTTCATTATTTTATATGGGTTATAAATTATTATACTATTTTTTCATCTTGATTATTTTTATATTTGAAAAAAATTATATATATAAAAAATCAATCACTTTTATGAATTTTTATTATTATTGTTACATTTTCCTCTCGATCAATTAATTTTTTTTTCAAATGACGTCAAAGATTTTATTAGGAAATTTATTAGATTATTTTTTTAAAAAAAATTAATTGATTGAGAGGAAAAAGTAACAATAATTAAAAAAAACCCTAAAAATGATCAAATATATATATATATATTTTAGATGTAAAAATAATCAAGATGAAAAATTAGTATAACAGTTTATAACTCATATAAAATATTTGTTTTGATTTGTAAACGACTACGAGTTTGATTCATGGGGTTTATATATATATATATATATATATATATATATATATATATAAATTAGATTTTAAAATAATCAAGACGAAAAAGTAGTATAACGGATTATAACCTATATAAAGTAATAAAAAAAATCGTCGCTTTTTAAAAAAATTTGATTGTGACCCTCAAACGTAAGATGTCTACATCCACCCTTGTTTAAAGTTGCAAAGAGATTTATATTAATTGCGACCAGACTCCTGGAGAGGGTTATTCTATTTTGAGTTCTCTCATTACCAAGTTGCTTGGCTTGCGGAAGGTAAATAGCGTTTTTAGTTACCTTCATATGAGGAGAGAGAGTAAAAAGGTTCTAAAATGAAACCCACATATTAGACATGTTTGGCATGCAAAACTAGGTGAAAACGGACCTATGGGAGAGGAGGTCAATAACTCGACATTCCACCCACGTCATTTTTTAGCTGGAATGTTGACACTGTAACATATGGCATCGATATCCATGTGTCACTTTGATAGTCAAAAGAATCGCGCATAACTTTTTGTGAAAAAATTTAGATTGGAACATAAAATATGTTAAATTTCTGATTCGATAAGTTTCAAATAATATATTATATATATAATGGAGATATTTGTAACAATCTTGGCGCTATAGTTTATCCATTGTGTTCTACGTGTTGATTCCTTAGTGTCGACATCCACTCTCTCATTTTACCTCGGATCCCATTTTTAGTATTATTTTTTATTTTTGTCTCGATTGATCTTTAAATTGATTCGGAGAATTAATATTGTGAATGTAATAATATTTTCCAACTTTTTTTAATGGCATCATCCATCGGTAGCCTTTCAACTAATTAGCATGGTTTGTCGTTGTTGACGGAATTCATCCATTTTAATCGTTAAGATCGCATAGAATGAGATATTTATCCTCCTCTTTAAGTAAATAAAATAATAGAAAGCAACCGTAAAAATAATAAAGGGAAAGTTACAGATGGTGTTTCAAACTTTTCAAATTTACAAATGAATCCCACTTATAAAAAGTATTATCTTCAAAAAATGAGAAATCTTCATCGTTAACCCCATCTCCCCACCCGAATCCACATTCCACCCACCCACAGTAAAATTTTTTTCATTTTTCTAAATTCTTTGCATCTTTTAAATGGGACCAATTCATACTAGAAAAAGTTTGAGACTTTGATGAGTGTATTACTCATATACCTAACTATCATCTAAATTTAATATTTACCTAATTCCTATGAGTTTTAGAGCATTTTAATGTACGCTTTGATGTTGTGATATAGGTTTGAGAAATTGAAGAAAATAAGCAAAAGTTTGAGAAATTGGAGAAAGATGCCAAATTGTAAGAAATACAAAGTTCAGGGATAAGATGCAAATAATTAAAAGTTTTGTTGAACCTTGCAATGAAGATTTGAGAGTGTTAGGAGTCAATTGTATTAAAAAAAAAATGTCAAATGGATCAAATTTAGTCAAAATATAATCACAAGTCAATTTCCAACCGAAAAATTATACTCCAAAATTTTAGTCTCTTATTGAGACCCATTTTTGTCATAGCAAATGATCGAATTAGAAAATGATGTCTGAAGTAAAGTTGTAGCTCTTTCAGTTAGCTTTCCAATGCATTTTGAATCGTCTCAATCGAATATCAGAATAAAAAGTTATGATAAAAATACTGAAAGTCGCGTAATGCTGTCGTCCATTCGAAGCGGGCACCTCAGCGCCCACCATGCTGAAAGAAAACAGAATTTGTAGTGCCACTACAGTGGCGCCGAGGCGTCGCCTTGCGAAAAAAGTGTTTTTTAATGTTTTTGGACTATTTCCTTGACCCAATTCAATCTTAATTCGTTTGAGACCCCAAAACACTATAAAACAATATCAAAAACCTATTTTCATATAGAATTCAAGGGGGCAAGATTGAAAAATCCAAAAGGTGGCAAGAACAACATTAGGGGAGAAAATCCAAGATTTGCCCACAAAACTAATTTTTTCTATGCTTTTTTCATGAACTGTGTGAATTTCATAGATTACAACATTAACTAAACAATTTATCTGTGGTTTGATGTAGCCAAACTTGAGATTAAGTTTGATGTTATCTTAATTATTTCTTTTGATTTTCCCCTTATATTTAATTGTGTCATAAATTTAATATTTTCAATTACCTGATCAATAATTGAATGAATAGATGTTAGTCAATTTCGTTACTCCAGAGAGGGGAATTTAGACGTGATCATAAAATTGACACAACATAGTTTTTATGGGTTTCGAAATAAAGTATAGGTTCTATGAAGCTTATTCCACAAAAGAATCAGGACTTTGTTAAATTCTTAATTTTAATTCGGAATAGAGGTATTGGAGTTAGAATCTATGATTAATTTCTAGTCGACACTCAAAAGAGTGGAGAGAAATATTATTAGGGTCCTTGCTTTTAAATATGGAAAAATTAATTGGAATAATTGGAAATCATTGAATCATAATTAAGAGTTAGGTGAAATTATTTCCTAGGCTTCCTCGTCTCGATAATTGCATTCATCAACTTTGTCACAGCAAATCACGTTATACCAGTTTAAAACATTCATTCATCTAAATAAAGCAGAAGTTATGCAATTATAGTATTTAGTAGGAATTAGAATACAATCTCTCTGGATTCGAGACTCTTAACTCCATATTATACTACAAAACTTGACATCGTACACTTACAGTATAAATCACGTTGTAGAAAACGCATGGCATACTTCCTATGCAATTTTCCTTATACTCCTTTTCTTTTGTTGTTTTTTATATTTATTTGTTTAAAAAGAAGAACAAATATATTATGTTTGTGGTCTTAAAGGTCAAAATCGACGAGTTTTGTCAACAAGGACAAATTATAAAAATGCTCGTTTGACATGATTTTTACTTTTACTTTTGCTTTTATTTTCTATGGAAGAGTTTTGAATTAAACCACTTTATTTGAAAATTAATTTTTAAAAAAGTTTTCTATTTTATAAGTGATTTAAAAAAAGTCATATTAGACCAACTTCTTCTAAAACTCTTCTTACTAGAAAAAGCACTTTCAAAAAATTAGTTACGAGTCCAAAAGCAACTTTTGAATATCAAAAACTCATTTTTACCATTTAGAAGTCATGCTAAACAAGCCCTAATACTAAGTAGTTGAAAGGTTATGGAAGAATGATGCCGCTCAAAGTTTTGGGATATATCCCAATCTTTTTTGAAAGATTGAGCAGTATATATGAATTGTTTTAACTAGATAAACATTACTTTTTAACCACACATTCTTTTAAAAATCACTATTCAAATCTTTATTTTCCCAAAATAGAGGTTGTCAAACAGAGTAACGTTTTTAAGTTTCCCTTCGGGATTTAATGAACTAGATTTGTTGCTATTCAATGGCACTGATTTACTCCCACTCTAAACCTCTCAATTTTCTTTGGTGCCAAACATAAATGCATGTAGTGAGAGTAAAAGAAAACTAAATAAATAAATCTTCCAACTAATATTCTTTCATTAGTTAGTTTTACGTAATTAAAAATTGTCTATAGAATCTACTTCATTATGTTTCCAGAACTTCTTCCTAATATATAAGTGCTTTGTCCAATCGAACAAGTAATAATGGTCCTCACTGCAATCACTTGCAAATAATAAATTACCAAACATTTTATGGAATCGATCAACTCTTTAAATACACATTTATGGAATCCCCCAAATGAAAAGGAAAAGGGATTGCCAACCATTTTTATTTAGGTCGAACATTGCATACTCGAGGATAATGTCACGAACTTGGTTTTTCAACTTTTTTTGCACCACCAAATTTATAGGATCAAGTTGCAATTGGAGAATAATTTTTCTCTCGTGATTGTTCTTTAATATTTTGAAGCCTAAACTTAGGTTAAAGTCAACTTTATTTTATCTATAAAAACATCATAAAAGCTAAGGTGTTTATTAGTGAAAGTTCTTACTTAGCCGATTTAGTTTGATCTTACATACGGAATTATTATATTAAAAACAACAAATCACTTTTTAATAGTTTTTAAATGATTAAGCATACAAGTCAATTTCTTTATATTTGAATGCTGCCGATTTGTAATGCGAAAGAAGTAAAGAACATAGTAATTGTTGACAGAAAAACCTAACAGGGTAAAAATTTTAGAACTAAGTCAGTTACTTCCACTATAAACATTGAACCTTACAGTTAGATGTTGCCTAGCTAATTTCACTGAACTTCCCGATCTACTTCTTATAATCTCCAAGATCTTATGACTCCACCAACTTTTCGATCTTCTACAATTGTCTTTTTCAAGTAGATACCAAGCATCACCACTTCTTATTCTTCTTCCTGCGCTCGTAGTCCAACATTCCTCAATGTTCAATAGCGTTTGAAGTTCCAACTGAGAAAGTACATTCCTTGTTGTGCAAATCTGTGAGTGTTTTGGACTTTGGAATCTTGATATTTTTTCCAAATCTTTGATTGTATGATCTCAAGAAAGAATGGATTGAATCAAGGGTTAAATGTGTTCTTGGATCTTCACGAGATGATATAAATGTTGTTGACCACCAAAAATGGCCAACAGGTGTTGTTAGGAGATAGTATGCACATGGACCTGTTTTGTGTAGTATTTCTACTTTAAAAAAGATTGTGTAAGAAGAAGAAGATAGAAACAATATATTATGTTCTCTTTTCTATTCAAGGATCCATATGATCAAGGCAACGTGGTCGTCGTTGGACTGGAACGACGTCGCCTAATCTGTCAGCCCCCAGCGTCACATCAACTCTATTTCATATTAATTACATTGATAGACTTTTGACAAGAAATCAGTCACTCTACAAACTTAGGTTGTCATCCTTGACACTCATTTAAATGGGCACATCACATCAGTCAACTCTGGAGATGCGCTTGTCGGACCCTCTTACGGTTGTCAAGGACTTCGGGTATTCAAGGAGTTCGGCAATAGAAGGTAAATCACCTTGGAAAGAAGGACAAGACCACTTCGACTATTCTTAGTGAAATAACATCGGCACTCAAAGGATGTTGATCCCTTCTGCATGCTTGCCACGTGTATGAATATGAGGCTTGCATGTGGGCCATTCCGCATGATCAGCAACAAATGTATTATCAATGAGAGGCACAATGAACAACCACACCAATTTTTGTGCTTGAGCTTGTGTATTTATAGTTGTATGTGTTTAGGTAGTTTGGGCCGAATAAAACCTCGTAACAGTGTCGCTCGAGCAAGGGGCAACAACAAGTGAGCGATGGGTTTGTTGCTCAAGCAAAGTCTAGGAGACAGGTGAGCGACGAACATTCTATTTTTGTCGCTCGAGCAATGTCTTGGCAAGAGGCAAGTGAAATTGCGACAATCCTTCTTTCCTTATTCCAAACTCGAACCTTAACCTACCTAACTCATTTATACAAAATTGCACCTAACTCATTGACTTTTACACATGTTCAAAACCTTGCAATGGCAGTCTCATTTTGATAACGCGAGTGCGCCTACGGGAATTTTCAACCATGTGAGAACTATTTCTTGAGATAAAGATTGTCTTAGAAGAAGAATTCGCGTACCACCGCTAGCGCCTGCATATGATAGGAATAATCGTCAAGATGCTAATGGTAAAACGCAACTACCAATGTAGATCATCTAATTCGTCACTAATGTCTAAAGAAATTTTAATTTCATTTTATTTTGTTGTTTCACTACGCATTTATATGGCTCATCATCATTAGGCTATTTTGTTTTCAAATATTGTCATCGTCATTAGTTCTCTAAAGTACTTCATCCACTAGGAATTTGTAATATTTTCAGCGTTGTTGATTTATTAGTTGCCTTTTATCTTGTTATTTATATACTGAGCCCATTGCTTTGGACTGAAATATGATAAAATTTAATGGAGTTCCATGGACTGCGACAAATAAACAAATCGAACAAATTGATTAAGGCCCAATTTGATCAATACTCCAAGTACGAGGACGAACTTCAATCAAAAGCGCGAAGGTCAATTGGGCACGAAAAAAATATTTCGTATTAATAATTATAACGTTTTAATGAATATTTTAATGATAATTGTACAACAAATGTACTATGGGCATTTTGTGCGTCATTAACGACGTGGAAAACTAGAGCGTAAACACTTTAAAATGATATTAAAAATGTAATATTTGAAGCTCGTTTGGTCCTATAATGATTGAAGAAGGGGGCAAAAAAATTGTCCAAAAATTGGAGAGTGACATGACCACCTGCCACCACTTGTGTCCACCAATGGTCATGAATGCAACATTTTGAAATTGTGGACGAATAGCGTTCTCAGCACACTCCATAGGATGATTTACTGTATTCTTAAATTATATAAATTTTATTAAACAAGGTTACAAATATTTAAAAGACAATTTCTTCAATTTAAAGCAATACTCCCATGTAACTAAAAATTAAGAAATAATCTTAAAGAATGACGGCAAAAAAGAAAAAGAATTTAATTTAACTATCATTTAATAAATATTTAAATATAATATCTACTATAATAATCAGTAAAGGCAAGAAAGATTGTCAAATGTCACACCGAAAGCTTTTATTAAAAAACTACTAAACTTCCATCCTCACATGACCATCATAATCACAATATGACCCATCATATCGCTTTCTTTTTCCATCAAACAGGGCAGAAATGAGAGGCGTGTAATTTTCAAACTCACTAATTATTATTATTATTCTGAATATTCCCCTATTCGACCAACAAATTTATTACGTTTTACATTTGTCAACTACGAATATTGACATCTAAGGGATCGACATGAATACATAGGAATTTCAAATTTATACACACACTTGATAGTTGAAGATGGGTGGCATGAAGAATACTACGCCAAGGGAGGATTAATCGAGTCCATAGGTCCATTCTTGCGGTAATAGTGTTTCCTCATTCTCGTTTCCCGACTGTTTTTCGATCAGTTGTGCTTCTTCTCCATTAAAACGTGAAGAATCATTTACATGTACATCTGAATCCACAATAATACTATTAGTATATAATTCATAATTGTCGCTCTAGGTAGTATGTCACATTCATGATTTTTGTAATAGATAAGTTGGAGTGGCTGGGTGGGTGATCATTGATTGAGCTAGAAAGGACTCCTATTGTCCGTGTCTAAATTTGCTGTTTCGAACTTCTTGTTCCTTCAATACATTTTTGACATGTTAATACACAATCTTTTTAACAAATGGGAAGATATGAACATATATTTTTTGACTGAACAACACATTACACCTATGCATCTTCATGCACGTTAAGAAATGATGACGTGACAATGTTCCAAAAATGTATTGGGGTGACAATTAAGAGAATAGGAAATTTGAGAGAGTAGATTTTAAGTCACCATAAATAATTAAAACATACGAAAGAGGGAAAAGTACCATTTGAGTTTTGTGAAGAGTGCTGATCGGTTGAGTCTTTTGACATCATTGGCCTATTAAAATGAAGTTCCAAAGCTTGTAATACTCTTGTAGGTATGAGCACTGTCGAACATACTCCTGATAAATGTCAAAACAATATACATATACATAAGTAAGAGTCATTCCGATTACAAGACCCTATTTGACCCCCATTTTTTTAGAGAAAATATGTTTTGCACATGTGAATTTTTTATGAATACATGGTTCACAAGAGAAAAATTTTAAATTTACGTGTAAAATTATTTATAGAAGAATGTATTATTAAAAAAAAATTGGAAAAACGAAGCCTAGTACCTTTCATGTTTAAAAATTCAAAATGTATTTATCTATGTCATTAAGAAAACTCCAAAAAGTAAGGAATAAAGCTTACATTTCATTGTTTAAAAGACCCTACTAAAATGAAGCCAATAATTGAGATCCAACCAAACAAGATTCCATTGTCAAGTCATTGAATCATCATATTCCATATCTAGATATTAAAAGATAATAACAATATTTAGATTCCATTACAGTCATTGAACTTGAATAAATCTCCTCGAAGATTCAACGTCACATTACCAACAATAATATTGAGGGAGAATTTTACACTTCACCGTCCCCAACCTCTGGCCTTTTCGCACAATTTAGCTCGTCAACTTTTCATTTATAAATGCAATACTCATGATTTTAATTTAATAAATAAATAAATAAATAAATATATATATATATATAAAGTCAAAAGATAACAAATAGACTTCACTCTTGAATTCAAATAAACAAAAGGCCGAACGACGGAACGAGGTACGCAAATACTGAATCATTTAAGATCCTATGGTTCTAGACTTAGGGTTGGAATGGTGGACTGAGGGCTGCCCTAAGCCCAATTAATTTTTTTGAGGTAAAAAAAAAGAAGTTTTTTTATTTATTTTATTTTATTATTATTTTTTTTAATGTATAAGTTCTGTATAAAAAATATTTTATGCTCCCTCCGGCTCCCCCCCACTTCTAGTAATAATTCAAGGGACAATGTCTGACTTTTGAAACAGTTGAGGGACGATATTGATAATTAAAAAAATTACCTGATTTCTTTTTGTGCTCAGCTGGGACGTCGGATCCACGCGGCAAGAAAACTCCAGTTCCACAAGACCCGTTACTTGATCCAGATCCACCCAGAAATACAGCCCTCATACCCGACCCATAAGGATATCCATTTCCCCAGTTCGCCCCTTTGTACTGTTGCTCAGTTTGATAAAATGGTTTCTTCTGAGTATACTCGCTCCGCCTTACTCGTCTTCCTCGAGATTTCCGGCCTTGTTTTCTTAACTGATGATAAATCTAACAATTAGTAAATAAAAATTTCCTATGGTAAAAAAGGAAATTCAGTTCAAAGATACCTTAGTTTCATGAGAAACGCAGTTGGAAAGTGAGTTATCTTCATCTTCCAGAAGCAGATGCTCAGCCATCTGACGTGTCAACTCGGCAACGAAATCTTCATCTTCGCTTCCGGAAGTTTCGGTAGAGTCGAGCTCAGAACCAAATGGTGAACTCAAAGCAGACGACGAACCTAAAACGGATTCAGTACCCGGACTTGATGTCATACTTTGATTGCCTTTGAACAAATCAGAGTAAAGCAATTTCTTCTTCTTCTCAGTGAATTCAGAAGCCATATTCAAGTGTTTATGAGCTAAATATCTCGATATTTTTGCCTTCTCAACTGAGTTCGAACGAGTTGGCGTGGAGTGGGTTGGGGCGGGGGGAATTGGAGCAAGCGGAATCTGGTAGAATCTGGCCACAGTGGACTTTTTGACTTTATCAAGATTCCAATTTATGTGCAGTCAGATTAACCGTTTTGTATACGGATAGATCTCCTGCCGTTAAAAATTTTTACTCGTAAGGATAAGTTACGGTTAGCAAATAGGAAGATACTAACACAATATCTTCAAAAGAATATCTCTTATAAAATAACAAAAATCCTGCAGGTCCCGCGATTAAATCCAGAGGCTGAGGTGGCGAAATCTCAGCCCCTGGCGTAAAGGGACGCAGGCCCCATGTATTAAGATCGAGGCATGCGCCACCTCGGCCCTGAATAGCATCATTCATAAAATAATGTTTTCGTACTTCCTAACAAGAATTGATGTGTTGATGTAATTGTTACGAATTAATCGCAAGATAATAACAATAAAGAAATAAATAAGAACAAAATATGAACATCAAGATTTATGTAAAAATTCAATATGGGAAAAATATCGGACAGATAAAGAAAAATCGCTATAATCAATAATAATTGTATTTACAACAAGATTTCAATTCTCTCAATTAAAATTTAAAACTTTCAAAATGTTACATGAATATTATACGAATAATACAAGCTGTGACTATATATATATATATATATATAGTTGAACAGTAAGCAGGTGACAGCTTCGCCTCTCGAGCATGGGATTGGCGATAGGCGTGCAACAAGTTTCTATAGAAAATATGCAGTCATTGCTCAAGCTATTAGCTAGCGGCAGGCTAAAGAAAATGTGGCAATTTTTTTCGTGATCCATGTTTTTAATCTCCTCAAAATCACTTTAACCAAAA